AAGAGAGGAACAAAACATTTATTATAAGAATGTCAATTTGGTGTGGCAGCGAAGACGTTAGGGTCCTAAGGGGTGGACTGTGAGATCTCATGTTGGCTAGAGAAGGAAACGAAACATTTCTTATAAGAATGTCAGCGAGGACGTTAGGCTTGTAAGGGGTGGACTGTGAGATCCCATGTTGGTTATAGAGGGAAACGAAACATTTCTTATAAAAATGTCAGCCCGGCGTGTCAACGAGGACATTAGGCTCTTAAGGGGTGGACTGTGAGATCCCATATTAGCTAGAGAGGGGAAACGAAACATTTTTTATACGAATGTCAGCTCAGTGTGTCAGCAAGGATGTTAGACTCCTAAGGATAGAGTACGAATGTCAGCCGAGTGTGTTAGCAAATCTGTTCGTCCAATTTGCTTCCCAGCAGTAAATCTAAAAATTAAAAAGAATTTTGCCCTAAAAAACAATGGTTAATACATTAATTTGTTGTGTTATGTTTCTTAAAATGCTTTTGTTGTTGGAGTAATTACAAATTATTAATAGATTTAAGAACAAAATTTGGAATAATTATTTTGTAAGTGAATAAAATTTTGTGGAAGGACTTATAAATGTGTTAAAAGTGTTGAAGATTTTGAATGTTAAAAGGGAATGAAGAAAAAAGGAATCAGATCAGGGAAGTATCTTCGTACAAAAGGACACCAATAACTTCCGGCGACTGAACACCGTTCGGCAGAGTGTCAGCAGCCCTAGGGCTGTAGCGCAGAGCCGCCAGATTCTTATAAAAACCTCCCGCTCTCAGTTTGCTTGATTCTGTGCTCGCTTCATACAGATATGACAATATTCGATGTTTCGTCCGCCGCTGAGGCTACCGGAGAAACGTCCGCCGCCGCCAAGAAGCCTGAGGCCAAGGAAATTAAGCTATGGGGCGGTCGCTTTCAGGAAAGCGTCACGGATGCCGTCGAACGCTTTACGGAGTCGATTTCATATGATAAGGACCTTTTCAAGCATGATATCAGCGGCAGTCGTGCTCATGCATCCATGCTTGCCAAGCAGGTTCTGTCTCTTCTCAGTTTCGTTTTGTGGTTTTTGTGAAGCTCTATTCTAGGAATGTTTAGTGTTTATTTGTGGCGTTCTTACTACCCTAATGTGACCAAATCACGATGATGAACTGTGGATTTTACTCAAAATTGATCTATTATGTCCTGGAGGTTTGTTCAGGTGACATGCGCATTCATGATAATCGCTCTTGGTTTTGGTTGCAGGGCTTGATGAGTATCAGTGACAGAGACTGTATTCTTGCTGGTCTCGATGAGATCGAGAAGCGTATTCTAAATGGCGAGTTCGTCTGGAGAGCTGATAGGGAAGATGTTCACATGAACATTGAAGCTGCACTTACTGATTTGATTGGCGAGCCTGCCAAGAAACTGCATACTGCTCGGAGCCGCAACGATCAGGTTGCGACGGATTTTCGCTTGTGGTGCCGAGATGCTATCGATTCGATTATCGAGAGGATTAAAGATTTTCAAGTTGCGATGGTAGATTTAGCAATCAAGAATAAAGGAATTATTGTTCCAGGTTACACACATTTGCAGAGAGCACAGCCCGTCCTACTTCAGCATCTTCTCTTAGCATTTATTGAGCAGGTATTGAACTACTGTTTTAGCTCATCATCTTACATTGTTGCTGAAATCCTAAAATTACTGGTCGCTTTAGTGTTGTTACTGTTTGCTGCATGCTTTCTAGAGTCCTGGATAGCGATTCTGAAACGGTTGAAATCACTTTTGTTAGGTTCAAAATCACTCCAATACATGCGTTTAATTTTGATTGTACCAAAATTTGTTTAAAAGTGTAAAACCAAATATTCAATGAATTTTGAATGATTAAGAACATATTTGGGAGTGATTTTGAGCTTGACATTTTAAAATCACTCTTAAACATTTTCTTAATACATGCATCCTTAACAAAGAAGATTGTGTGTTTATGTGATAATTGCTCTGCGGAAGCTTTAACCATTTCACTTGAATCATCAATCCTCTGTTATAAAACGTTTTCCACATATTTCAACTTGATATGCTAAAACATTTCTTCATTACATTCATAAACTCCCTTTAGAGACTGGTAACGTGATGGTTACTTATAATACATTTCAAAATTCTAGCATTTTAAGAAACCATTGATTCACCATTTGCTAAATGGTTTATCTTTTTCCAAGCTTAAGTAACCAATCTTTAGTTAGGATTAAAAGTTATGCTAGTATTTTACTCCTACTAAAACTGATTCGAAGACTGATTTGGGACAAATGTCGTTACACGTTTTGTAGCTCGATAGGGATGCTGGTCGCTTGCTGGACTGCAGAGCTAGACTGAATTTCTGCCCCTTAGGAGCTTGTGCATTGGCTGGTACTGGCCTTCCAATTGATCGATTCATGACATCAAGTGCCTTAGGATTCTCATCGCCTTTGAGAAACAGGTCTGTCGATTATTTTTCTTACTTGGTTTTTAAAGATATGTCGGTTATTTTACTTACCACATAATGTTCTTTTGGACTTTTCAATATTTGAGACTTGTGATCACACAGATTATATGATTTAGGCGTTTGAATAACCATTTTGTTTGGTTTTCTGTTTGTTTCTCACAAATTTTTGGTATATTTTTCACCATGATTGAAAACACATTTGAACTTTGAGCCAAAATTTAGATACAAAATCAAGTTTAAAAGCTACTTTAAAATAGTTTACAAAATTTGACTCGGTTTTTTAAAACGTTTTCATAATAGGTAATAGAGCAAGAAAACTGTAGATGGAAGTAGAGTTGACAACCATAATTTTAAAAAATAGAAGACAAAAACAAAGTAGTTATCAAATAGGTGCAGGAATGGGCCTTGGTAGCAGCAAGTGGCTTATTTTCTGTTGCATCCGCTGGATCAAAACATATCCTTTTTCATCTATATTTCATGTCAAATGTTTCTGTAGTTCCATTTATTTATCTTTTTCCTCTGACCCTGCTGAAAAACTTGTAAATTTCGTTGTCTCGAATAGCATTGATGCTGTTTCAGATCGAGATTTTGCAATGGAATTTCTTTCTGCCAATTCTATTATGGCCATTCATCTTTCTCGTCTGGGAGAGGAATGGGTATTGTGGTCCTCCGAGGAGTTTGGTTTTATCGTGCCTAGCGACGCAGTTTCGACTGGAAGTAGCATAATGCCTCAGAAGAAAAACCCGGATCCAATGGAGCTTGTTCGTGGAAAGTCCGCTAGAGTCATAGGTGATTTAGTAACCCTTCTATCATTGTGCAAAGGACTTCCTCTTGCATACAACCGTGATCTGCAGGTTTGAAATTTTGATTTCCTTTTCAGAAAACTTCTTTCACCTTCAACGACACTGAATAATCTGTTTGTGTTGAGACAGGAAGACAAGGAACCCGTGTTCGATAGTGTTAAGACGGTTTCAGGGATGCTTGAGGTTTCAGCTGAGTTTGCGCGGAACATTAGTTTCAATCAGGATCGAATTAAGAAGGCCTTACCAGCAGGTCATCTTGATGCGACCACGCTTGCGGACTATCTTGTGCACAAGGTTAGTATCACTGCTATTTACTTATTCTTGTTAGAAGAAGCATTAGAAGCCAATGTTTTTTTAACATGACTATAGAGTAATGGTTGAACACAACATGTAGTATTTGAAGGCAGATGGCAGTAGCTTCCATTTTTTTGCTTTGAAAGATCATAAGCTTGCATGTATACTGTTTGAGATACCTATATATTTCACTTTGTTTAGGTTAAACAACTTAACAAAGATTCTTTATAGGACCCCTTTTGTTGCAACTTGCAATATGCTTTCATAAAATTGGGGTTTTAGATGAGCATCAGGTGAACAGCGTACAAGTTACAACCACGTACCGACCCAATGGCCACTTGGTCGGCTGAATCTGCTCATTGTTTAACGTTTTCTAACTTTCTGATTTCATTTCCCCTTTTTAACAGGGCATACCTTTCAGAACATCTCATGATATTGTTGGCAAGTCTGTTGCCATGTGCCTTGGAAAGAACTGTCAGCTGAAGGACCTGAGTCTCGCTGAACTTCGAGCTTTGAGTCCAATCTTCGACGAGGATGTTTACGAATTTCTTGGAGTTGAAAATGCAGTCAACAAATTTTCGTCGTATGGCTCCACAGGATCTGAATGTGTTGCCAGTCAACTCGAGTATTGGATCGAAAAACTTGGCATTAGTCAGTAGAGATTAGGCTAGATGAGAGAGAGGCTTTAGGGCAGAGTAGAGCAGAATAAAGCAAGGGGGTCAAGCCAACACAGTATTGATGCAATGAGCATCTAGAATAATCAGTTTTCCTAGCATTTCTCTGTTAATTAGTATGTCATTTGGATTTCTGACTTTGATCTTTATTTTGAGCCTAAATTTCACTTTACAAGACTTTCTATTGATTATGACAACTCCATCTTCGGAGGCATTCCACTTGCAAATAAGAACTTAAAGGACGAAAAGGAAGCAAATGAAAAGGTTGATACATCGAGTTGGGAAGTCTTAAAATAACTCAATTAGTTAAGGCATTTCCTTTTAAATAAAAGGTGGAACGCATGATTTTTTTTCTTGATAGAATACAAAAACGGAAAAATACATATAGGACAAGAACATGAAAACAATACCAGGTTAGGGGTTAAAAGGCAGAAATTTATTGAAGCAAAATTGCTGCGTCCTTGACCAAATTGCAGCCCCCCCTGCAGCATTTCAGATTAAAATTTAAATAACACGTTGAGAGGGACCAGATGGGGGATTTCGTATCAATTGATGAAATTGAAAGAATGGACCAACTATAGGGTAAGAAATCAAAACTTCTAAATGATTTATCATCATGCAGCATTTGGCATCATCAAATGGTATCTAATCGTCATTAATCTAAGAGTTCTGGCTCAAGTAGTAGGGGGACGAGGACAATCAGTGGGTACTCGTCATTTTTTAGCATTACCGGCAAACTTTGAGATGAGAAGAAATTTCTCATTTTCGATTGGTTTAACTCCAAAAAAAGGGTTCTTAGCGGTGTCTTTGTCGCTGATTTAGTTTGTATACTTGTTAGGATGGATCGGCGAATCAACAGGGATTGGTCTGCAGAGAGTTCAAATTTGTTGTCAATAAAGCATTCAGAACAAGATGGGATAAAAATTTAGCGTGTGATAAAAGCCATAACTTACCAATATACATTCTTTATGTCAGATAAAGGCTTCAGTGGTTGCCCATTGATCATCTCACCCGGTTTCTCATATCTATTGCTGCACTTTCCAAGGGCACAGCCACATGATGTGCCACAGCTCCTTCCAGTTGATCGGCATTGGCACTTCGTTGTCTTGCACAGTGATTTCTTACTGCAAGAGCAGCATTCTTCCTTAAGTGTTATCTTTTTCACGTTGTCTTGCTGATGTTCTTCACCGGCTGAATCGAACTGCTCACAAAGATTATTACTCCCAAAGCTGGGAGAGGTTTGATCGGAAACGTCCTGATGACTTACAATTTTCGAATATCAAAAGGTGATCATGAAATTTTATTATCAGTTTCAGAATTCATAGAACGTTTCATGCTTAATATTCTATTTATTGTTCATATGAAATTGAAAAGGCAAGCCTGCAAGCCAAATGCGCTGACCTTTGATGCATCCTTAGGAGTATGGTTTAACTTCTGGATTCGCATTTGGTTAAACAAACCACTCAACATGACCATCTGTTCCTTTAGTTCGTTCATATCTTGATTGTTTTCCAACATGTTGTCATCAGTGTCCTGAGATGGGTACCTTGACAAACAGAAATGAAAAGGTCGAGAAAATTCGGGAGAAGTGAGAAACAGTAGTAGTCCAACCAGAACTGAACGTCACAACATTTCAAAACATTTACCCTGATTTTTCTTGCTTCAGCGCATCTGCTTCTTCTTGAAGTTTCGCAATCTCCTTATCCTTCCTAGAAAATTGAAATTTAAAGTTCAAAAATCAAGTTGAACGCAGATAATTAAACATAGCAGGCACCAATTTCTCTGAAACTAATTAAAAGAACAAATTGCTGCATTTAACTAACGTCAGTGCAAAAGAGATAAATGGTTTATCTTTTACTACATAAACCAAATGATCAGAAGCTTCAAGCATGTGTAGCAGCATTAATCAAAATACTTTTATAATATTTCATCAGCAAATTTTAACGTCCTTGTCAAAATGGAAAAAGGTGGTTATCAAATTCACATCGAAATTATTTTAATCATTGCTTTGATTGATAACAATTCTGTCGTTTAATTCTAATAGCTGGAAAGAACGATGTTTTGAAAGAAAAACAGCTGGCACCATTCTCCTGAATTGTTGTACTTACTCTATTTAAAGTTTGAACATGAGAAAAGAATCCTAGAGTTTGGTTATAACTTAACAAAAAGCACTTGCTAATCTGAATTACTTTGTGTATATATATATATATATATATATATAGAATATATATAGAAGCATAACTGAAAACACTTAGCATGCACGGAACTACAAGTAAGAGCTGTCTTTATCCTTCACCATTTACTCGAAACAGAAGGCAACTTGATGCACGGAACTACAAGTAAGAGCTGTCTTTATCCTTCACCATTTACTCGAAACAGAAGGCAACTTGATTTCCATAATAAATAATTGATCACAGTCAATAGTACTATTATCTATATGTCATGCTGTACTATTATCTATTTGTCAATCTTAGAATGGTGGATTCTCCAATTACCACTATAAAGGCGATAGTTTGATCTCCACGATTGTTGAATTAAAAAAAAATGACTAATTTAATAATCAGTGGATTTGTATCAAATTGCAAACTCATAACATCTGATAGTCCAATACCGATCAATTAAGAAATTAATGAAGAAATGAGCTAAGCACAAGAACCAACTAGAAGCAAATTTTGAATTTAACAATTAATAAAAATTTAAAGGAAAGAAAGCATCAAATACTCACTCTTCTATGAGATGCTCATACTGGGAACATAACTCATGTAACCTCGCTGTGACTTCAAATTCATTCTCAACATACTGCACAAATTTTATGCAGATAGACAAGAATTACCATAGATGAATTACCACGGCCTAGTTATGACAAGCGAATCCACCCACAAATTGCCAAAGGAATGACCTTGCCAAAGAAAATGTGTTTTTTTTCTTTCATGTTTTCAAATATGCGTTTGATAATTTAGAAACTCGGTCCCGATTGAAACCATTGTTTAAAATATAGTCTTATTTACCAGCTGAATACTAGGCTGAATCTCAACCATTATTAATTAATTAATGACCATGCTTTATATTCTAAATTTTGTATAATTACTATTTTACAATATCATATAATTTATAATACTAATTAAACATATTTTAATTTAACAAAAATGAAATGAGTTTATAGCTTTATCCAAGACTTTATCTAATCATGCAGTTTAAAATTTCAAATTAAGATCTCGATACAATGAAAATATAAAAATATTGTTTCCCTAATTCTCACGACTAAAATCGAAGAATCTAAAAACAGTTTTCCATCAGTTCATTTGAATAAGGGAATCTAAAAAAACAAAACAGACCAAACAGACCCTTAATGAATGAGCCATATATAGACACACAAACATGAAGCACAAATTTCACAAATTACCTGGGTAGAAGTAATATTTCCATGTTTAGCACCTATAGTCCAAAAAAAGTAAAAACAAGTCAATATGGTAAGACAGGAAACCAAACTTGATAAAAATGTTAGGGACCAAACCTGCTCTTCTTTGTGCAGAAGTCCTTCGAGATTCCAAAAGATTTCTTATCCTTTTCGTAACTTCAGAAGCTTCCTCGGCCTTCCGTTGCAAAACCTCGAGAGAGAAAAATAAAATTACAAAATATTTAACATAAAGATGTTTTATAAAATAAAAGAATTAAAAGTTAGGGAGCACAACAGAACAATTCCAATGAAATACTCCAATTATTGAACTCAGGAAAAAAAAAAAAAAATACCATCTTTAGTCTCTGATTAGAAGTTAGGAGCTTATTCATCTCATGCTCATTTCTTCTCTTTTCTCTCTTAAGCTGACGGAAAATCGAAAAAATATTGTTAGGACAATACGAATGGTCAAAGGGGAAAATGATACATGAATATCAATAGCAGAGATAAAATCCATAATACAAATATCTTAACATCGTTCTTTTTTGTAAGGTATTCTAGAATCATAAATTAAATTGCAGATATTCAATTTAAAGGAAACATGTACAGCGGTCCATAGATAATATCAATGATGCATCATTTACAGCAACAGTCAGGATTAGAAAATGAAGAAAGATATAGTATGCATTCAGCATACCTGAAGAACTTCCTTCTCCAATGAACCTTTATATAATCTGAACTGCACAGACTCCAGCTTCATCTTACATTGCAGTTGAACCTAGATGATATTTTCATTGAAAATTAGCGTAGACAAAAGGAACACCAGAAGAACTTTACATTAAGCACGAATAACATAATGCGATAATGCAGCAATATTTTACCTTCTGTGCCTTCAAACTCATAATCTCAAGATCTGTCTGTTTCGATACTTCATCGCCTTTTTTCCATCTGGTTGAAAGCTGAGATTGAACATCTAATTTCTTCTTCAATTCTGTAACCTACGAGAGTTCAATATAGTATTAGTTAATTGCATAATAATCAACATGTGACCATAAGAAATCGCGTTTTACCTGATCTTCAAGGACATCCAACTTCTGAATGTAACCTTCTCTGAGTTTTTTAGCACTATTTGCAGCACTTGGTGAAGCATTTTCTAATCTGTTTTTTAGATCCTTAATTTCCTTCTGCCAATTTTCAGATGCAGAAAAGTGAGAAGCAATGACCCCGTGCTTGGTTGCAACAATAAATTAAATAAGTGAACAACAACCACGTTCTTTCAACATTATGCCAACATATATGCTCATCTCGTATCAAATTTTTCTCCATTGCAATAGTAAAACGAACTCATTCTTCTCGTCGATTTAATCCAATTGAGAGAAGCACTAGATTGTGTAGATCAAGCAACTAAAAATAACGCATAAAAAATAGACGAATCGAAGTTCGTTGAACTAACATTACAAAAAGAAAGCAATATCTAATCCAATTGTTATTCGAATTTCTGAATGATCAAACGGTGTGAATGACAGTACAAAATGGATAACAACCTGAAACGCTTCATTTTCACTCTCGAGTTCGCGTATTCTCTTCTCATAGTCTTTACTGTCCGTAGCCGATGTGATCGACGATGACGAGACATCGGCTTCGCCCGTTTTCTTCGATTGACGGATTGCCTTCCTCATTTTCTGCCGCCGGCAGCTTGCTTGCGGCAATGGATCAGTACGAGAACGAGAAGTGGCTAAGAAATGGAATCCGAAAGCCCTAATCGGAACTCACCTCCCGAGCTGCGGTAGAGAGTTCTCCGCTGTGAGGGGAAAGAGGATTCGAGGGTTAAGATTTCATTTCGCTGATCTTTTTATTACTCTGAAGATGACAGTGTAATTGAATCTTCCAAGGGAGGGAAAATTGGCTCAAATTCAATTTTTGCCACGTCAGAAGTTTGTGTTTCCTCACACACGTGCCACTGCCCACGGATGGCGGGGAAATTCAATTTCACACGTGCTTAAAGTACAAATTTCTAAAATTTCTCGAGTTTTTTTTATATATATTTGACATTTCAACTTTTTATTTATATTCTTCTAAATTAACAACAATTTAATTTTTATTAGATTAAATTATAATTTTTAAAATTTTGACATTTGAGTTTATTTTATCTATCAAAATTATATATATATATATATATATTTCAACGTTTAATTTATATTCTTTTAAATTAGCAACAATTTAATTTTTGTTAAACTAAATTTTCAAGTTACTAAATTGACGAAATATTTAAATATTTAATAATTTTTAAAGTTTATGAAACTTTTAAATATAAAATTAAAATATTATCAGAACAAATTTATTAAATTTAATTTTTTTAAATATAACAAGAAATTATTAAATACAAAATAAAATGTTTTAGATCATATTTCACGTTTTTAAAAATTAAAAACTTATTAGAAAAAAAATAATAAATAAATAAATATATATATATATATATATTGTGAATAGAAATAGACAAAAATATGAAGGGAAGCGAAGATTGGGTGGCAAAATGGGAACCAGAAGCGACACGCACCAAGCACCAGCCGCCACATAAATTTTTCACAGTAAAACAACAATGCCTCACGTAAAATCGGGAGTGGCCAAATCAACGGCGCTGCATTTCGATTGGTCGACGCTTGCACTAGAACCTCTACGCCGACGGTGAATTTTAGTGGAAGTTTCTTCCATTTGGCTCTTCTTCTCGCGTCTACGCTGGCGGTGGTAGGTTCTTAATTAGAGCATATCCGAGAAAGGAAGTTTTGCTATGGTTTTCTGTTGTTTTGCTTCTTGAGGTAGTAGTTTATAGGATTTGAACGTGACTTACTACCCGATGTTTAGTGTTCTGTTTGTTTCTTTGAAGTTTATCTATGTTTATGTTTATTTGTTGGTTTGATTAGGCCTCTGTTAGCTACAAATACTTCGTCTACAAGATTGTGGCGTAGCTTTGGTGACGGAAATGGGGATTTTGTACTGAAAATGTAGCGATGGATTAGGAAATTTGAAGTATTAGTGTTATCTTTTTTTTAGAGTTGAACTTTAATTTAATGGACGAGTGATGTCAGGATTTGAAATAATATATTTGCGGGAAATTGGAACATTTGATCGTGAGAGTTGATTATTACTAATTTTATAGTCAGTGAGCTGTTTACTGTTTCATAAAGCCACCAGTGCTATTACAATATTTCTTATTGTCAGTTTGACTTGGTTGCTTTCGGTAATTTCTTTAATTTGAGCCTTTTATCACTGTTATATCCAAAACAAGTAGATGTAATCTGCCCAACTTCCTCATTGCATCTAATCTATGTGAAACTTTTTAGTAGATTGTTTTCTTTACTTGCTGGCTTCTTAAGATTAGCTATCGATTGTGGCAGGTGCTATACATTTTATTGGAGATTGCAGAGCTCTGAACAAGATATCTCATTATATAATTGAACCCCCCCCCCTTTACGGGGTTCAGTGTACAAACTAACTAATCTGAATTGGGATACTGTCCTTGTACATTGCTGTTTTCAGCTCACTCAACAATGGTTCATCATGGTTCTACCCAATTTTCTCATAAATTGGGAATTCAAAGTGTTCATGGATGCAATAAGTTACATATTGTATGTCATTCATAAACTTCTGTTTGATATGCTCAATACTTTCATTAACGGCTGGTAACTCTAATTTTCATTTCTTGATTACACGGCAGAGTGTCAAGGGAAAGGCTCGTCTACATCTTGTTACTATCGTTCCAACATCACACGGTCTGGTATGGTTGAGATACATTTGAAATTTGACAAATGTTTATTAGTTGATGCTTCCATTCTCTGTGAGTTTGTGTGTGTATTAGATGTAAATATGTTCTTTTGGTGTATGTGGAACCTTGTAAATTCCTGTGCATTCTTTTGGTTGGTGAAAGGACAAAGATTTCAACATTATATGGATGTTTAAAGCTATGGATAACTTTTTTTGTTTAATTCTCAGAGGCACAAATCTGTCAGTCTTCAGCTCTTAGGCAGTGTAAGTCGCTCAATGTATCCTGTGTCTTCCAGAGCAAATGTTTTTGTGTGTCGATCTGTTCTGGAACCTAGTGGCGGAGCCGGGACTGCTGTTTTAAAATCTGCAGCTGTGGTTTTGACAAGGTGTGATTTCTTTTGATATGGAGTGCTATAGCAGAGTAAATCAAGTACATTTCCTTTTGCTAATAATCTATCCCATGGAGTTGAACTTGTTGATTTCTAGTGCTATTACTCGTCGTCATAAAATTGTAATCTTTCTCATGCTAATCTTTATAAGCTAGTAGACCTTCCTGCATTCTGCATGTGTTGATTGTATATGGTGCACATCGTGCAGACTGTTAATTTGTATCTGAAATATTCTTTAAGACCGTTTTGTGCTCATCAAATACTGACTTTTTTTTTTTCTTTTCTTGGGGCTTCTTCCAGATATTATGATGCGTTACGTGGCAGTCCTCTGTTACTTAAATTAATTCCAGCAGCTTGTGTCATTGCTTTTGCTGCTTGGGGTGTTGGACCTCTTATGCGTTTGGGGAGGATTCTATTTCTTCATGTATTGATCTTAATATATAATTTTATTTTATTGAGCCAGTAAACACTTGATCAGGCTGATTAGTTATGGACATTTTGCTGCAGGAGCCAGATGGTAGTTGGAAGAAAAGTAGTACATACTTTGTTACGAGTTCTTACGTTCAACCTTTACTGCTATGGACTGGAGCTACACTGATCTGCAGGTGAGCCGTTATCTGCAGTCTGCACTATTAGGGCTAGCTAATCTTTAGCTGATGATGATACAGGTATTCACTATAGCAACTTTGTTTCAGGGCATTGGATCCAGTAGTCTTACCTTCAGTAGCCAGTCAGGCTGTCAAACAACGACTTCTGAATTTTGTTAGATCTTTGTCTACTGTTATGGCATTTGCCTATTGTATATCAAGGTGCATAGTTTCGGCGCTTCGAATTTTCATTTGAAATTTTTGAATCAGGGATGTTTACCTAGAATTGAAGTGTTGCTAAATGGATTGGGTGGCTGATATTTTAAAATTTGAATGTGTTCTTCAAAATTCTCTCTCTATGCAGGCTTTATTGCATGTTTATGAGATAAAATATGCATTATTTTTTTTGTTCATCTTCTGAAATGGATCATTTACCCTTGTTAATTGTTTGTCTGATTGGACCATATCATGCATTTTGATTCTAACAGGCCTTAACCTTGATGCAGTTTGATTCAACAAGTACAAAAGTTTTCTTCTGAATCAAATGACTCGAGTGATACAAGAAATGTATGATATCCTCTCTAATTTCATCTTCTCATATTTTTCTATCATTTAAACATCTAAATTTAAATTAGTTGGCACTCGCTCGCCATTAATCATTTCTAGTTAGGACAAGGGCAGATATTATGAACGGATATCCTTGAATGGATAACTTAACGGTGGAGAGCTAAGTCATAGATTAACCCTACCAACTATACTAAATAAAATCAAAATGGTTATGAAGTTAACCCGTACATGGCTACATCACTTGGATATCTTAAGTTAGTCTTTCTAAACTTGCCTTCATTTTTTGATAGATGGGCTATGATTTTGCTGGTAAAGCTGTTTACACTGCAGTCTGGATTGCTGCTCTTTCATTGTTCATGGAGTTGCTCGGTTTTTCTACCCAGAAGTGGCTGACTGCTGGGGGTCTCGGAACTGTATTGCTTACTCTTGCGGGTCGTGAGGTAAACCTGCGCTCTCCTACACGTTGTCGTTTATAAACACTACAATTATGATCTTACAATATTTTTGGGGTTGTTGTGAAATGTGCCATTACAATTCCCTGAAGTTACTGTCTTCTTTCTATTTATTAGACGGTCTATCACCAGACAAGTTTACTCCATAATTTTGATGTATGCAGATATTTACTAACTTCCTTTCAAGCGTAATGATTCACGCAACGCGACCATTTGTAGTAAATGAATGGATTCAAACAAAGATTAATGGATATGAAGTCTCTGGAACGGTTGAGGTTTGTAACTTTCTAACACCACCACCACCTTAAGAAATATGTTGATAAGAACAGAAAGGAAAACATATCAATTTGGTTTTAGAATTTCTCTTCAAGTTTTGATTGATCGTCATTTCTGACATGGAATTTCTAAATGCAAGCATGTTGGTTGGTGGTCACCGACCATTATCCGAGGAGATGATCGTGAAGCAGTTCATATTCCGAATCACAAATTCACTGTTAGTATTGTGAGGAATCTTACCCAGAAGACTCATTGGCGTATCAAGACTCATCTTGCCATCAGCCACTTAGATGTTAATAAGATCAATGTGAGAATCAATTAGTCTTTCACACCCGTTACCTTAGTTTCTTTCATTATATGCCGTTTAATACCAAAACTTGGTTTCAATTTCCAGTATATTGTAGCTGATATGCGCAAAGTTTTGTCCAAGAATCCTCAAGTTGAACAGCAAAGGTTACACCGCAGAATTTTTTTGGATAACATCGATCCTGAAAACCAGGCTCTTATGGTATGAATTGGCTCTCATTATCTTCCTTCTGTTTCATACTTAAATTAATTGACATGTGCTAGACTTTGATCGGTCAAATCATATGTTAATTAACAAAGAGGAAGGGTAGAACTTAAATATTATTGGTAACCTCTTCAGTACCAAGGGATTTTTTTTTTTTTTAATGATTATTTTTTCCTTTTGGAATAGAGACTAACTTCATAACGTAAAATAAACGAAAGATTTACATACAAAATGTGGGAAAACATAGCCACCTGGAAATGGAGTATCCAAACATGCGCACACACACCCGACCTCATCTTTCTGGTGCTGGATGTTCGTATTTCATTTTTGTTCTATATTCTTTCCCCTTCAAATTACTAACCAATTTCGTTTCGTTCCTGCAGATTATGGTTTCTTGCTTTGTGAAAACTTCTCGTTTTGAAGAATACCTGTGTGTCAAGGTATGACTGCTTTTTGGTGTTTTAGAACTTTGGTTGATTTTGTTGTTTTAATTCTTAGTATTTTATTTTATATTTTTTCGTGCTGATGATGATCACCTCAATTCGTACTTTTGCCATGTTGCGCAACAGGCGTATCAAACTGTTGCAGTCTAATACATAGCTTTTAGTTGCTACATTTTCTATACTGATATAGGTCCCTACTTTTCAGTTAAGGTCTCTTTTTGTTCCTTGTCTCTGATTTTAGTTTGTTTCACAAAAATAGTATTCTTCATAACTTCTTAGTTTTCTAGATTCTTCGTTTTTAGTGTGCTTTTGAAGAATTTCTCATCAGGATTTGAATGTGGCTGTAGGTATTAATATAGTTCAACCTCATTTTCTTAATGTTGATCGTCAAGTTATTCAAGTGTCTGAACTTTCAGCCGCCAATTGATGTGCAGGAGGCAATTCTCTTGGATCTCCTCAGGGTTATCAGCCATCATAGGGCCCGGCTTGCGACTCCCATTCGCACTGTTCAGAAAATATATGGTGAGGTTGACTTGGAGAACGTACCATTTTCCGAGACCATGTATTCACGTACGGGTGCTACTAACCGTCCACTGCTTCTTATTGAGCCATCTTATAAAGTCAATGGTGACGATAAAGCCAGAGTCTCTAGAACTCCAACTCGCTCGTCAAACGAAGAAAAAGATGCTAAACAAGAGACAGTCTCAACTACAGGGACGAAAGCCCCCGACACAGCTGGTTCAACATCAAGTATTGATATGAAAACAGATGATAGAAAGCCGGTTACTCCATCTGGTACTGTGCCTAAGCCGCCTTCAACAGGGTCGTCGGTGTCCAACACTCAGACTCAGGATCTATCAACCAGTACTCCAGAAGAAAGCAGCATGGAAAAGGCAGTAACAAGCAATGAGATAAAAGGAGAAAAGAAAGATGTGATTGGACTGAATTCCAAGCTGCCCAAAAGATCACCCTCAGCTTCCAGTTCCGGCAGCGAGAAAGCTGATATTCCTCCTCCCTCAAGCTTGCAGAATAATAAGCAAGATGGCGAGAAGGCCTCTGCATCATCAGTAGTGGGGAGGCCACCATTGGAGGAGAATATCGTCCTTGGAGTTGCCTTGGAAGGCTCCAAAAGAACTCTTCCAATTGATGAAGATTCGGATCCGTCTCCCTTTCACTCTCCTGCTGATTCAAAAGAAATCTCCACACAGAGGAATGGGAGCGAGTTCCCTCCCAATAGCAAGGATTTGAGAGATGGCCAGTTGCCTGCAGTTCCTGGTGCGACGAATAATGATTGATTCCTGGTGCGACGAATAATGATTGATCAGTAGGCACGAGAGTCACCTTCTCCCAATTATTCTCTCGCATTTTGAAGCGATGCGAAAATGAAATGCAGAGCTAAGTTTTTAAGCAAGCATTTTGCAGGCTCGCCAGTGTAGAAAGAAAAAAAAAAGTATATCTTGTTCCAAAGGCAACTCCAAAATATATATATATAAAAAGAAAAAAATAAAACTACTTTTCCTAGAATTTATAATCTTTATATATACTTTCAATTTCGATTCAGAGGCGAGTTCACATCTACCAGTTTTCTTATTTTATATTTTGTGAACTTGGGCAAGAAAAAAGCAACAAACGAATTGATAGATAAGGAGACATTACTTTTGTTAATTTGAAATGATGGGCAGCATTCGAAGTTGATACTTCGTATAAAAGTCAAGATCACAAGTGTGATGTCATATATGTTGGTATGTTAGTAACATGTTAGTGACAAAGTGAAACAAAACATTTTGAGCAATAACCTAAAAGGAAAAAGCACATTCTGTTTCATAATTCTATCAAGATAGATATTTCATTACTGCTGTAACGACAAGTTTTTGAAATACTAGACAAGGATGCACTTCTCAACGAAAGAAATTGCATAACATTTGGAAGCAAAACTTGGAGGTCAGTAAGGAAAATTTACATATTTGGTCAAACGTTAGGTAGGGCACATGCAATGAGGAGCAGGATAGGTGTATATGGATTGCGTTTCTTTCCGTAGCCTGATCTGGCCTTGTCTATTTTTATGTCCGGCGAGAACAGCCTTTCTGAACTCTGACCACTCCATGCTCTTATTGAGGAACAGCTGACCCAATAGTACCATGTTTGGTCTTATAGTCTTCATGTTCAAGTATGCCCGATGTCCCACCTGATTATATGTAAACAGTTCACTTCCTTTTATCAGAGAGCATATCAGTGTGGACCTATCTACATAGAACTTTCAACCATCTTTTGACTATGTTCTTAAGATTGGCTATGATGCTGTTATATTGGTTTCAAGCTCATGCATATGAGTTTGCAAATTGTATTGGGCTAAATTATACAATTGTTTCAAACATGCCTTTGTTCCAGTACTCTTGATCTTTCAAGAATGTTACAAAACTACTTTAGGAATAGAAAGTTTAATGAAAATTGGAACCTAGAACGATATGGATGGTGATCTAAAATGGAAACTTGAATTGTCACACTATTCAAGATTATGTCACATCATTCCAAGTCCCAATTTTCATCTGTCATTCTAATGGATTTCTATTTCAATGGTGATTTGAGACATTTATAAACGGCCAAGGATAATACTCAACTTTGGTAAGAATAAGAATATTTTGAAAATAAAGGACAAAGTTGAGATGTAATTTGTATGATTTAGCCTCTATTGTATCGTGGTAGTTCCTGGCCATCACAGTTTTCTCACATAATTTCAACGGAAAGCATAGCAAGAGTGAGGGTGAGAGACTCACCAGAGCATTGTGCATGTTTCCAGGCGAGGCAGAAATGAAGATGTCGCTGCGCATGCTCACATAATAATCAACTGCAGCTGATAATGATGCTTTCCCCGCTATACCAACACGTTCCAAAGGAGAGGTAAGGCTCTTCTTATCTTCCAAAAGCGGGAATAATTTGCGCAACGTTGAGATCCTTGCTTCCCCACCATAAACCTGAAATAGACAACCATTTTCGAAACCTTCAGAGAGCTCCAATTACTTATAGAAGACGTTAAAGTGAAGCTTTCTACCACACAATAATCAACTCCCAAGATTCATTTTGATAGATTAATTCCACATTCCTTCCAAAGAAAAAGGTTGGACCTCGTGTATAGCAAGATAGACGCGTGTGCTATTGCTAAACCCCAGAGCAGCTAGCAGCAATCCTATCTCTTCAGGAGTCAATGGGCAACGTCCCTGATATCTCAACTCTTCATCAGTGAACTGTGAGTTAGGAACCCTTCCCTGCCAAATCACTCGACGATAATTTGCAAGAGCCAGTCTCTCAGCTTTGCCTCCACCAAACTCACAAGCTGAATGAGCAGCCATATCCTGCAAGGATGATTTGTAGAGAATCATAATACTACTGGAATTGAAACTGTAAACTGTAAAACATTTTATTAGATTGGAAGGACAAAAGTTAAATTACATCTAATTAAATGAACTTGGTCCTTGTTCCACGGAAAAATATTGTAAATAAAGAATATGGTATATCTTTTTTTCGTTGCAAAGTAGCCATTAGATTAGATCCAGAACATAAAGCCTCGCAGAAACTTCAGTATTTCACCACTGAATCAAGACTATCCATATCATCCAATAGTACAATTTGCAAGGAAACCTAAAGACTCCTAAGAGATGATAGCACTATGAATGGGCTGAAGCGATCAATTGAATCAAGTCAAACTTCTGATATTGAAGGTTAATTTATGAAGTTCAGTAGTTCTTGCAAACAACGAGGGAAGACCTTATCAAATCGGAGATGCAAGACGACAAACTTCCCACCTTCCAATCTTCTCGTATCATCCCCTAGCAGATTCTCAGCTCCTTCTGTTTCCTTTTGATTCGAAGGGGAACGAAGGCGATTGACAATGGTATCTCCTAATTCAGTGATGCCACGAACAAAGGCTAATGCCTTGAAGTTGACTTTACAACGCAAATGCTGAATCTCAATAGGTAAGTCGTTGAAAGATAGACGATGAGAGAATGGAGCAATAGCAGCAATCCCATAGCTGTTATCAATTGAAACAGTCAGTCCAACACATTTCTAAAGACAAAAAGCAGATGATGTGAGAAATACTCATGCTGTACCGAAGTTTATGGTCACTCTAGAAGAAGATAGACCTCTTAAACAACCCATACCTCACTTGAGATCTTATTTTTCATCCCACTGTATCTCTCTCGTAATTCCTATTGTTATCAATTTTGACCTCAAACTCTCAATTTTATCAATTAGACTCTATACTTAAAAGTGTTGCAATTTTCACCTTTGATCCAACTTTTGTTAATTCGCCCACTAATCTTCACAAATAGCGTAAAAATCATCATAAACTCATTAATTTCAATAAAATAAAATTTTGAACAAAAATAACTTCAAACAATGCACAAATTAACCAACTGAATAACATTGTCAAAATTTAAAATTTTCAACAAAAAAACTTGGTTCTAATGTGATTAAGAGTTCGCTTTGAAACCATTAGTGAAATGACAAAAACACAGTAGTCAACATGTGAATTTCAAGAAACCAAATATCATAATTATGTGCAGGACTTACCGCTGCAATATGGGCAAGACGTTTTCCAAGTACCAGTTTGCAGAAGCATGGGTGGGAGCTGTTTTAATTCTAGTATTACGGATTCCAGTAGCGTAGTACTCCCGAGTGCTCCAGGAGTATTCAGTAGGCAGCTCTTTGACTATTGATATATCATCACGCAGGACATCAATAAAGTGTTCCACATCAAAAATTTCTCCAAAAGAACTGGCCAAACAAAAAAACTTTTAGCAACTTTTTCTGGAAGACACCCCCCCACCCCCCCAAAAAAAAAAACAAAAGATACCATAATTAACTCATTATTAGTACCTTGAATCCTTCCAAACAGCATTAACTTCAAGATGAGGTATGACCAACGTTGCATTCAGAATTCGGGCAACAGCAACTGCATCACAGATCTTTCACATGGTGTGGGGGGAGGGGGCTAAGTTATCATACAGCTAAAGAAAGCCTAAAGGATAAAATGTCATTGAATTCGAATGCTTTTTCATTTTCATTCACAATTGGGAAGATGGTGATGATAAAACAATAAAGAGTAAAATTTATATACCCCCATTCTTTGCTGATTTAATCCTCCATCTAAGAACACTTGGATGTAACCTTGAGATTTTCTTGGTGATACTGCAGGGTATCAGATGCGTGTATATGAGGACGGAGCCATATCTAAGAAGTGCAGAAGCAGAGAGCTGTGAAGAACTCTACTAAATAAAACAAGTGATAAGCTAGGAAAAAGGAGTACTAGAGCTCAAAATTTAGCCCTAAAATCGTAGTACTCACATTCCGCTTTTGTAGGCTTCAGACAAGGTTTCCAGCCTTGATTTGGCAATGGAGACCAGATCTCTCTCTGGTCCTCTAATGTCTGAAATGCCAAACACAGAACTGGTTGTAAGAAACAACGTAAACAAAACAATTTCACTAAATTAGGCCATGTTTGATAACAATTTGAACTCCGTTTGATAATCATTTAGTTTTCGATTCTTGGTTTTTGAAAATTGTGTTTGTTCTTTTCACTATTCTTCAACATGCATTTCATCTTAACTAAGGAATCATCTGAATTCCTGAGTAAATTCCAAAAACAAAAAAGAATTTCAAAAACTACTTAAAAAATACTTAATAAAACAATGGATTTCATGGATAGAGGTAGTGTTTATAAGCTTAATTTTAAAAAAAAATCAAATAGTTTTCTATGGGGCTTTCATTTTTGGTAGCTGATTTCGAAATTTATACTTGTTTCCTCCCAATTTTCTTACCTTCTCAAAGAAACATTACAATTCTTAGTCAAATTTCAAATAAAAAAAAACATTTTAAAAAAGGTTTTCTTTAGTTTTCAAAACTTGCTTGGTTTTTTGAAAACATTAATAGAAATTGTGTAATAAACCAACAAAAAAAACTTATAAATGAGTTAAGAAATCGGAAATCAAGCACATCAAGGATTACTAACCGTGATATGATGCAAAGCACTGTTTAGCAAAGTCAGATGCCTTGGTCTTGGAGAAATCCACTCCTGTTACATAAAAGAACATCAAATTTTTATAGAAATTGATTAACCCTACGCAAAACCGTCAATCTCTACCTCCGGAGAAATTAGTACGTAAGACGAGGTTTTCATCAATGGATGTAGAGAGAAGTGACTCGAATTTATATTCAGTAATTACTGGCATTACTATGAGATAGCAACAAGTAGAAGAAGAAAAACAAAAACAAAAGAGGAAAAAGAAAGACTAAACAAAAGGAAAGTGCGTAGAAACTGATTTTCCAACCAAAAATTGGAGAGAATACCTAGAAAGAAATAGGATTAGAAATTAAAGATTCTTTTACTTCATTTTATCACTGCAATCAAAACAAATCAATGTGAACATATTTGACGAAGAATTTCAGAACCTTCGTCCTAAGAGACAGTCCAGTTAAACTATCTGCTGAATTCGTAAAATCCTAGGTACAATTAGGGCAAGCAAGCAACGTATCATTATCATTTCCAGTTCAAAATAACAGGAATTGTTCATGAAACCTAGGGAACAGAATAGAAATGGATCGAGAACGTACAGAGAACAAGGAAGGCGAAGCGCGACCCAAGGGATCGAAGAGACGGGGGGAAATAATAGGAAAGAGAACAAGAAAAACGCCAGCAAGAGCCGCCCTCTGGGATTGGTTCCGATGGCTGTAGTAGTGGAGCTCCATTGATGCTTTCTTGGAGATCACAGATTGGACACTGGATTTTGATCTTGAAGGTGAAGACTAGGAGAGTTGAGCGAGCGAGAACAGTTTTTTCTGTTTTCCGTACACGGGGAGATGAGTGATGCCGATGCTGATGGCTGAATTCTCCACTGAATTTTGGTATTTTTGAGAAACTATAATAAATAAATAAATAAATAAATAACGTTGCCACTTTGTTTTTTAAAAATTAAACACTACTTCTACCCAACACTTAAATTCTGAAAAAAAATCAATTTTTTATTTTTAGAATTTAACTAGAAAACTAAATATTTTTTTAACAAAAATCAAAAGCATGATTAAAAATAATATAAAAAATTAAAACACAAAATTCTTTAGGATCACTTAAAACAACAATTCATCTCAATTTGAATCGACTAATCCCGTATATTTTCCACCAGTACGTTTATGTTTCTGCCTTACGAATATGATATTTTCTAGGTATTTCTAATAATATCAAGTGTTATTCCGATTTTGGCATTTCTTATTTCTAGAGTTTTAGCCTCTCTTAGCAAAGAGCTAGAGAAACTTTCGAATTATGAATCGAGAATAGAACCAATGGGCGATGCTTGGGTACAATTTCGAATCCGTTATTATATATTTGCTCTAAAAAATTAAATCACAAAAATAATCATATCGGATTTGATAGCTATTTAAATTTATAAATACTACTTTTACCAATAAATTTCTTGACTTATTATTAACTTTCTACCAAATTTTTTGAAAAATAAATATTTTGTCATCTGATTCTTAAATTTGCATCTTTATTATTATTATTACTTTATGTTTTTTTTTTTTTTTTTTTTT